TGACAGAACCGGTAGGGAAAAAATTCGAATGTCACCACTGCCCTGATGGTAGAACAGTGTTTCATAGTGGATCAACCCCTGAAATTCATATAAAAGTTTATAGGCTTTGTTAAATTTTAGAAAAACAAAAGTACAAGAAAACAAGAAAGAACTGAGGAAAAGCCAGGGGGAGGGAGGGAAAAGCAAAATTGGAGAGTGCAGACATAAAATGTAAAACCGTAACAAACAGTACAGTTATCATTATGCTAGGTTTTGTGCAACTCGGAATCTGAATTAATCCAATGAAATTCTGAACAGGAGGCAACTGATAATCAGCTTTATTATTGATCAAGATCAAAGCTGGGTGTTTTTAAGCTCTTGCTTTAAGCAGAGCAGGCAGAGAGAGAGAAAGCAAAAGCCACGCACTAACTAAAACTTTTTCCTTTTTATAGTGTGTACATAGTCCATGCAAAATAAATAAATAAATAATTTTATTTCTATACCGCCCTTCTCCCGAAGGACTCAGGGCGGTGTACAGCCAATTTAAAAACACAAGACACAACAATGATTAAAAATTAAAATTATTAAATAATTCGGCTCAATTTAAAACCCCAAAAATTTAAAATACCCCAATTAAAATTATTAAGTTGATAGCCCGGCCTGGCGGAACAACAGGGTCTTCAATGCGCAACGAAACACCCGGAGGTCGGAGATCTTACGCATTTCCGGGGGCAGTTCATTCCACAGGGCTGGGGCTCCCACAGAGAAGGCCCTCCCCCTGGGTGTCGCCAGCCGACATAACTTGGCCGATGGCACCCTGAGGAGACCCTCTCTGTGGGAGCGGACTGGCCAGTGGGAGGCTATTGGTGGCAGAAGACAGTCTCGAAGGTACCCGGGTCCTATGCCATGGACCGCTTTAAAGGTGGTAACCAACACCTTGAATTGCACCCGGAAGACCACTGGAAGCCAGTGCAGCTCGCGCAGGAGGGGTGTCACGCGGGCACAACGGGTTGCGCCCATAACCACCCGCGCGGCCGCATTCTGGAAACAAAAACGTCCATTGTGTTGGTTTTCAGGCCTTTTGGGCCCCCTGGAAGTCAGGAAAAAGGCTGTTTCCGGCCTCCGGAGGGCCTCTGGAGGGCTGAGGACGGCCGTTTTCACCCTTTCCAACCTTCTAGAAAGGCTGTGGAGTCGGGAGAGTGAAAAACGGGCCTTCCAGTGGGACCGGAAATCAGCAAACGGGCCATTTTCAGCCTCCGGAGGACCTCCATGGGGGTGGAGAAGGCCGTTTTCACCCTCCCCAGCTTCCTAGAAAGGCTCTGGAGCCTGGGGAGAGCGAAAAACGGGCCTACCTTGCCATCACATGGAAACGTGGGGGGAGCGCGGGGTGGTTGCGCGCCCATGCGCGGGGGGGTGGAGTGGCATAGGATTATGGGTGTGGGCAGGTGTACGAGCGACCCCCCCGCACTCCCCCCACTTTTGGCACACGATGGCAAAAAGGTTAGGTATCACTGCTCTAATCCTTCCAATTATAAACATATATCCGTAATGCAGAATGTCACAGCGAATATCATGGCCACAGCGAATATCATGCCAAATATCAGAAATCTGATCTTAAAATTCTGTCAATGTAGCCTATATCAATTAAATAAGAATTCTAGAACTCTTCTGGGTTTTCTTTTGTGATTCAGCCTCTCTTGAAAAGCTGATATCTGTCTTTTTATTTTCTTTTATTTCTTTAAAAAAGTACAAACAGAAAATTTATCGACAAACAGATCACAGTGAGAACATTATACAATACATAACATTCAATCTAAATAAACAGATAAAAAATAAAAATCTAATCTAGCATTGTCCTCTTTTTATTCTATTATCTAACCAAACATACCATAGGTCCCAACATTGCAAATATGCAGAGTCTTTTTGGTCTCTTAAAAGTTTAGTTAGCCTATTGGCTTCTGCACATTCCATGATTTTCCCTATAATCTTATCTTCAGACGGTAGATCTTTACCCTTCCATTTTTGGGCAAGGCATATTCTAGCCGCAGTTGTGATATAAACAATCAGATACCATTTGCTAGTGCCTATTTTATCTGGCCTGATGTTTAATAAGTAAAATTCAGGTTTCGGTTGTAGTTTGTATCCAGTAATTTCTAACAACCATCTCTGAATGAGTTTCCAAAATTCAGTTACTCTGGGGCAAGTCCACCATACATGGAAATAGGTACCTAACTCCCCACACTTCCAGCAATTTGGGGAGAGTCCAGGAAACATTTTGGATAGTCGGGCGGGAGGAAGGTACCACCTGTATATATGATATTGACCCCACCGAACCAGTGGTGGGTTGCCCCCGGTTAGCATCGGTTCTATAGAACCGGTATTAAAACTGGCAGGATGCTCCACCCACTGACCTCGACGTCATCAAAACACTTCTGTGCACGTGCGGCCTTGCTGCGAACTGGTAGTAAAGGTAAGTAGAACCCACCCCTGTTCCGAACTACTCAAAATTTCTGCTACTGGTTCTCCAGAACCTGTCAGAACTTGCTGGATTTCACCCCTGAAGAGGGGAAATCACACAGAGGGGTCAATAAGAATACAGCTGGAAGGGACCTTGGAGGTCTTCTAGTCCAACCCCTTGTTCAAGCAGGAGACCCTATCCCAGTGATGGCGAGCCTTTTAGACACCGAGTGCTCAAACTGCACGTGCATGTGTAGGAAGAAATATCTTCTGGATTCTGCTCCAAGTGGGGAAAAAGACACTGGAAACATGGAGACTGCTTGGAAAGATGGTTTAATGGTGGACAGGATCACATGGCTTGAGTTCCTGAACAGAAAAGGGCAGATACAGTAAATCCTCGGGTTTTTATGCTCTCTCTGGCTTTACATTTCCTGGGCCCCCGAAAGAGTATCCTGATTGGTTGTCAGACTCCCAGGGGGTGGGGGTCTTAGCTAGCCTTGCTGTCTGATGGTCACATGTGCTTCCCAAGTCACTGGTGAGTTTCGGTTGCTAGATGGGGCCCATTGTGTTAGTTTCTGTTGCTATTGTGTTGCAAATGTCCTTTGACAAAGGATTGGGTTTCTGCCTCTGGCCCATTGACAAAGGGTGGGGGGCAGGAAGGTGGGAGCTGCTTTGTCTGTAAAATATGCTTCTCCATTTCTCATCCAGGGAAATATAATATTCTGCCTTTTTAATATTTCCCAAAATATTTCATTCTTCTAGGAAAGGGGTGGGTGCTAACCTCCTACACACGCATTCCCAAATTGAAAGGGCATGCACGAACGCATGCACGGACATGCACGAAAGCATGAGCGGACATGTGCAAATGAGCGCATGCAGACATACACGGACATGCAGAGTTTCCACCTGCATTGTTCCTTTCCAAAACGGGCAAGGCAAAGTCACATCAAGATTGGGTCTTACCCCTGGGGGTTTCTTTGCAACCGTCCAAGTGTTTTCAAACCTTTTATTCATGAACTCATTTAAAAATTCCAGATTGGGCTAAAATTCATCTTTGGGGTTTTGTATATTTTGTATCAAGATGGAAAAAAGATGTTGAGACTAGAAAGAGTGCAGGGAAGAACAAGAAAGATAAGTAAGGGACTGGAGGCTACAACATAAAGAGGAAAGGTTGCAAGAACTGGTTGTGTCTCCTTGTAGGAAGAGAAGGACTGGAAGTGACAGGATAACAGACTTCCAATATTTGAGAACCTGTTGCAAAGATCAGGGGAACAACCTACTTTCCAAAGCACCTGAAGGCTGAACAAGAAGCAATGGCTGGAAACTAATCAAGGGGAGATATGAAAGAAGATTTGGAATTGAAAGACATATGAAGAGTGCACAACCCAAAAGAACTGGACTTTACTTTTTTCTCAGACAGACATAGATCCTTCTCTAGGATTGATTTTATCCTACTTACGGCTGATTTATTTCTAAAAACAAAGAAAACAAAGATATTTCCGAGGACTTTAACTATTGCTGAGCACATTGTAAGCCGCCCTGAGTCTTCGGAGAAGGGCGGCATATAAATCAAATTAAAAAAACAAAACAAAAAAATGGACCATAGCCCGGTATGGATAGAAATAGAAATGGGAAAGAATGAGAGAAGATCGTGGAGAGTAAATGAAAATTTGTTTAGATATGAAAAGAACGTAAATGAACTCAAAAAACAAATGAAGGTATTTTTTGAAATGAATTTGAATAAGGGTACCCCTATTGAAATTGTTTGGGACGCGAGCAAGGCGTATATGCGGGGGGTACTGATCTACATGAATTCTAAACATAAATTAAATCGACAAAGGGGAGATGCAGCCTAGAACTAAACTAAAGAGATTTCTTGGGATGTTCTTTCCTGATGCTCTGAGGGGCACAATAAAGGAAAATTATTGTATTTGCTACAAGTGGCGAATAGCCATTTAGCTTATTTAGAAAATTGTAGCTTATTTGCTACAAGTGGCGAAGAGCCATTCCATGCAATCTCTGGCGTCACGTGGCTCCATCCACTTGCTCTTTCCACCTGCCAGTTCTCCAGTTCAGCTCAAACGCACGTGGGAAGAGGAGCCCCCGAGTGGGGACGGAGCTCCTCGGGAAGGGCTCAAAGGCAAGGAAGGCAGGGAATTAAACTCTCGCCCTTTGCACCTAAGTGGGAGGAGGAGGGGGGTTTCCAGGGCTGCCTCTGCTGCAGGGAGACCGGCCGGCCAGCAATGAATGGAGGGCTTGGCTGAAAGGCAATCCTAGTTTAATGTCGGTCTGTGTCCTTGTGGGGAAGCCGCGTCCCACATCCATCATCTTTGGCCTCGGCAGACGCTCCCCCTCTCATCCCTCCCCCCCCCTCTTTCTACTGCGCAGAAGCGGCGCTTCCCAGGCTCTGAAACTGCAGAGGAGAGGAAAGAGGGGATAGAGCGTCTTCCAAACTAACAGGGACGAAACAGGGCCGGAAAAGGCGGGGAGAAGCCTCCGTGGGGCCTCTCTAGGAATCTCCTGTCATTCTTCCTACCCTCTCTGTGGTTTCCCCACTTGCGGCTGGGCGAATTCTTGGCTGTCCGGCAAGGCTGCTCCTCGGCCCCGCTCCGGGCAGGTGGGGCTCCCGCTCTCCCTGGGGCTGCCCGGAGGAAGGTCGCCCCGCTGAGTGCCCGCTGAGCCAGGGGTGCCAGGAGGGTCCCGGGTGGAGGCGGGGCTGGACGGGGAGCCTCTGGGCAAAGGGGGCGGGGGGAGAGGAAGCCCCGCCCCACGGAGGGCAAAGGGCGGGGCTTCTCTTTCCAGGGTCTCAGGGGGGATTATGGGGTCCATGCAGGAAAGGGCCGCCGCCTCCCTTCAATCGGGGGTGGAGGGTTTTCTTTATTGGGGGGGAAAGGGTTTAAATTGCTTGAATTGAGCTCATTTCCTCCCAAGGGAGAAAAGATCCACTTTCTTTCCGCTTCATCTAAATGGAGAAGAATTGATGTTCTTTGCTTTTATGTTAGTATTTTAATTGTTTACTTTTCTTTCTGCAAAGCTGAGTAGGAAAAAAATCCATTATTTGCCTAGTTTTGCTCTGAAGGAGGCTGTGATGTGGCAGCCCCTGGTTGGTGGGTTTTATCCCTCAGAATAGGGCAGGAAGGGACCTTGGAGGTCTTCTAGTCCAGCCCTCCGCTCAAGCAGGAGACCCTCTGCCATTTCCTTTCTTTGCCTAAAAGGCTCCAGAGTTGGAGCAGCCACAACTTCTGCAGACCAGTTGCTGCACTCATTAACTGTCCTCTCTGTGAGGAAGTTTCTCCTGAATTCCAGGTTGTTTTTCTCCTTTGTTTCCATCCTTTGTTTCTTGTCCTGCCTTCTGGTGCTTTGACTTCTTCTTCTTTGTGGCAGCCCTCAAATACTGGAATAGCTGTCATGCCACCCCTAATGTCATCCCCAGTTCAGGCAGGCAAATGGGGAGCAACAGGGACTCTTGTCAGCCATCCCTCTCATTGTGCTAAAAAAGGGGAGGCCAGCTCCACAGGGAGGATCCCAGCATGGCTTTGATTCTGGGGAGGAGGGAATTGAAGGTTTGGGAGCCGTTCCTGGGTTCATATAGGGCAGGGGTGGCTTCTTCTTATCTTTACTGCACACGCAGATCAGCCGTGATGACGTGACACTCCTGCCGGTTTTACTACTGGTTCTATAGAACCGGACCGAACCGGGAGCAACCCACCAGTGATATGGGGGGTCTTCCACCTATTATTTGGGCTATTTGGATATCTGAAGAAAATGAATCTTCCTCTCTCCTTCACTTCTTTTATCTTCATCCTGCAGGTGCCACCAGGAAAACCTTTGGACAAAGTTCTGCTTGCAGAATCCAGTCTGGGTCAGTCACCAGGACCAGAGGTTTTGTCTTCTGAGTTTTGGGCTCGTGCTGGAGCCCATCCTCCTGCCCATCTTCCAACCTTTTGGCCAAAGGTCAGCTTGTTAGAGTTTCCTTGGATGGAAAGCCCTGGAAGTGAGCAGCCCCTGGAGACTATGAAGAGGGGGGAACACTTTGGCCAAAGGTCCCCTCAGAGGAATCAGGGGAAACTCTCCAAATGCTCCAAGTGTGGGAAATCCTTTGGTCACCGGTCCCTCCTTTTGATCCACCAGAAGCTGCACATGGGGAATGGATCCCACCTGTGTTTTCTATGTGGAAACTCCTTTCCTGGAATGTGGAGCTTTGCCAAACATCTCCGGAGCCACCCTGGACTGAAGCCTTACAAATGCGGAGAGTGCGGGGAGCGTTTTGCTAAAGGCTCGGATCTTGGAGCCCATCAGCGAATCCACCAGAAAAAGAGATCTCAGGAATCCTGGAAGCGCTGGGGAAGATTTCCTGAGAGACGGCGCCTTTCTAGGCCTCAGAATAGCCTGACTGAAGAGAAGCCCTGCAAGTGTGAGCAATGTAGGCTGTGCTTTTCTCAAAACTCAGAGCTGCTTAAACATCAGCAAATCCACACCAGAGGGAAACCTTATCAATGTCTGGAGTGTGGGAAATCTTTCAGTTATAAACAATTGTTTAGAAAACATGAGAAAATTCACACTGGGCAGAGTCCTTATAAATGCCACGTGTGTGGAAAGTGTTTCACTCGGAGCTCATCTCTTTGCCAACATAGTAAAACACACACAAAGGAGGAAAGCAAAACGTGCCCAGAATGTGGAAAATCCTTTTCCAGCAAATCAGACCTGCTGAAACATCAGAGAATTCACACTGGGGAAAGACCCCATGAGTGCCCGGAATGTGGGAGATGTTTTGGCTACAAGTCATGTCTAATTCGACATCAAAGACTTCACACCGGAGAAAGACCCTTTCAGTGCTCAAAATGTGGAAAACATTTTTCCCAAAGGACACACCAAATTCGACATATGAAAGTTCACACTGCAGAAAGACCCTATGAGTGCCCAGAATGTGGAAGATGTTTTGGTAAAAAGTCAAAGCTAATTCAACATCAAAGAATTCATACTGGGGAGAGACCCTATAAATGCCCAGAATGTGAGAAAACATTTGTTTATTCTTCTAAACTTCGGAGCCACCAAAGGACGCATACGGGAGAAAAACTATATAAATGTAAGGATTGTGATAAATGTTTTTCTTTTAAGGAAGGTCTTTTTCGACATCAGAGTATCCATACAGGGGTGAAGCCCTATATGTGCATCGAGTGTGGAACATTTTTCCGTACAAAAGAAAGCCTCAGAAATCATGAGAATGTTCACAGAGGGGAAAAAAAGTTCAAATGTTTAGAATGTGGGAAAGCATTTACTCATTCATCATCCCTTAGAATGCACTGGCAAACTCATACGGGTGAGAAACTCCACAAATGCTCAGTGTGTGAGAAATCTTTCTCCCGGAAATGTACACTTGTGATTCATCAGGGAATCCACTTAGAGAAGAAATATAAATGTCCGGAGTGTGAGAAATCTTTTCATTGCAAATATTATCTTAGAAAACATGAGAGGATTCACAAAGGAGAGAAGCCTTTCTCGCGTGCGCATGTGCAGAAAAGTGAAAAGTGCCCAGAATGTGGGAGATGTTTTGGCAGAAAGGCACACCTAATTCAACATCAGAGTCTTCACACCGGAGAAAGTCCCTATCAGTGCCCAGAATGTGGGAGATGTTTTGGCTATAAGCAACACCTAATTCGACATCAGAAACTTCACACTGGAGAAAGACCCTATCAGTGCCCAGAATGTGAGAAAACATTTGTGGAGTCTGCTGAACTTCGGAGACATCAGAAGGGGCACACAGGAGAGAGGCCCTATAAATGTGGGGAATGTGGGAAAAGTTTTGTCACAGAAACACGACTACGGGCTCATCAGAGAATCCACACAGGGGAGAAGCCATACCTATGTGGGGAGTGTGGGAAAGGTTTTTCCCGAAAACAACACCTTGGAAGGCATGAAAAGGTCCATACGCGAGTGAAGCCATAGAGATGCATAGAGTGTGGTAATGTTTTGTTCAAAAGCAAGACATCAGAAAAATCACATGGGGAAAGCTCTGATAGGCCCTGATGGGAGAACAGTTTTTCATAGTTGTTCAACTCTTAGAAGTCATATAAGGGTTGATAAAAGGGGGGAGGGGGGATTAGAAACACTCAGATCGTGTGAGAGGATTTTCTTAGCAATCGTCCATTAAAAAATCACACTCTAATCCATATAGGAAAGATGCAGTTTAAATCTTTGAAGTGTGATGTATGGGTTGCCTGGAAAAATACTCTTTCAGCATCAATGAATTCTTACTGGAGAGAAACTTTTATTGGGGCTTAGAATGTGGCAAAGATTTTTATCTGATCATCAGATCTTCAGATGTACATGAAAAATCCACACAGGAGGAAAACCTTACAGGTGTATAACAGAATACTTTTCTTTGCCAATTGGAACGTCTTGCCTTCTGGAGTTTGTCCATTAAATTTGCCTCCTTGGAAATTTTCTTGCCAAATTAATCTTTTTTATAATTTTTAAATTATATGAATATGAAAAGCTGATATGTGTGTGTGAAAAACTAATACCTAATGTAAAATTGTCTGGAACCGTATAAGGACTCCTGCCTTGAGCAGGGAAGGTAGGACTAAAAGAATACAGCTCTGTTATTCTGTGGTAGCTCCCTTCCAGCCCTATGATTCTAAGAATTTAAAAAGAAAAAGGGAAATGGATGAAAAGCAGAAGGAAGAAGTGCTGACAAAATAGGGGGGGAAGCTAAGGTTTCTGCTAAAACCTTGCAAGCCACCAAAAGTGTCTCTATTTGGGCAGGATTAACAAATCCAGGAAATAAATAGAATCAGAGAATGTGTATCCTAGAGCACAACCGACAGAATATGTGAGGTAAGAAGAACTTTACTGATGGTTTTCTGGTAATTTTAAAAGCCCTTTGGAAGAAATCAAAATATTAATGGAAACATATTAACAGATTTTGATGTAACCATGTACAATGCTGTTACGACTCTGGGGCTGGAGCAGTTGGTAATGGACAACACTAGGCTCAACAATTGCTTAGATCTCATCTTCTGTAATACCTAAATTCGATTTATGGCTTACAAGTTAAAGAACCATTTTCCAACATCGATCACAGCTTGATAGATTTTTTTTTAAATAATTTTTATTAATATATTCTATACACCAACACACAAATAAAATATACAATCCTGCCACCATGGTATAATGTGATTACATTGTCCATAAATATAAAGTCATTCCTTTATACATACATATTTGCCATCATATATATACATCATCATATATCTATTCTATCCCACCTTTTCTGGACCCAATCGTACCATAATTTCCAACTGTTATAAAATTCTGAATCTTTTTTACCATTGATCAATCTAGTTAATCTATCTGATTCCGCACACTCATTAATTTTATATATTATTTTCAAATCTATCGGTAAGTATTGATTTTTCCACTCCTGCGCATACGCTAATCTTGCTGCAGTAATAATGTGAATCAACAAGAACCATATATCTGATTTAACATTCAAAGGTTTTGCCCCCAATAGGAAAATCTCGGGCCTTAATTCCAAATTAATCTCTGTAATTTCCAAAATCCATTGCCGTATTTTTTTCCAATATTTAACCGCCTGCGGGCAGGTCCACCATTGATGAAAGTAAGTTCCATTACTGTAACCGCACTTCCAACAGCAGGCAGATGTCCCGGGAAACATTTTAGCTAATCTCGCTGGGGGGAGATCCACTGGTAGACCATTTTATATATGTTTTCTTTGTATGAAGAAGCCATAGTTAATTTCATATTTTTCAACCAAATCTGTTCCCATTGCTGGAAGTCAAGGGGATATCCAAAATTTCACCCCCATGCTATCATACAATCCTTCACTACATCCTGTCCTATCTGCAGAGACAATAAATATGCATAACATTTAGATAGTATCCCTTTCCCTCCTTCTAATAAGATCTTATCCAATTCTTGTGTTTTACGGTAGATTCCTTCACTATATAAATCTTTTTTATACCTGGAGTGCACTTGAGAATAAGACCACTGGTCTATCTTATATCCTTGAAGAGTTAATAATTCTCGTGACTTCGGATTACCCTGAACATCCAAAAAAACTTAATACGTCAAGGTTTTTTCCTCTTTATACAATGTCGGGTAAATCTGAGCTTCCTGCGCCGAAATCCAACATGGAACTTTTGAATATACTCTTCCTCTAACCTTTTCCCAAGTGTACCCAAGCGTCCTACGTAAATAATGATGATCAAAGTGTCGATGCTCCCGGCCATAGAAAATAGTGCCAGCCATGTTGAAGACCGGCTCCCTCAAATGTCAAAAGTTGTCTCTTTTGTAGGACCATCCATTCTTTCACCCAAATCAAGTTCACTGCTTGGTGATAGAGCTCCCAATTTGGGAGTCCAAATCCTCCTCTATTTTTGGGTTCTTGTAACATTTTAAGTCTAATCCGCAGCCTCTTTCCCTGCCAGATAAATTTAGATATACTCCTATCCAAATTTGTAAAAAACTCTTTATTCAACCTTACCAGGGCTGTTTGGAATAGAAATACCCATTTGGGTAACATGCACATCTTAATGGTTGCCACCCTTCCCAAAATTGATAGCTGGAGATTTTTCCATTTTTCTAGGTCTCTGAGCATCTGGCTATAAAGAGGAAGATAGTTATCCTCCTTTATGGAGGAGCATCTGGCAGTCAACCATATACCTAGATACTTAATTTTGTTATTCTTAAACCCATTAACTGCTCCAGCTGTTGCCTTTGCATCTGAGTCATATTTTTCGCTAGGATTTTAGTTTTTTCTTCATTCATCAGTAATCCCGCTACCTTCCCATACACTCTAATCATGCATAATAATTTCAGGCCCGAAAATTTCAGCTTGATAGATTTTTGTCTCAATTTGTGTCCTTGCAAACAGGGACATAATGACGGTACTTCAAATTATAACTTTAAAAAAGCCAACTATAATCTCATAGCTGCCGACCTCACATCCCTTGACTGGCACCTTCTGTTCAGAGGTTGTAAAACTGCAGATGACTATTATAACACTTTTTTACTCTAAATCCATAGAGTCATTAATCTATACATACCAAAAGTGACCTCTAAAGCTAAAAAGAACAAATTAAGTTGCAATCCAAGAAAAAATCTCTTTGGCGAGAAAACAAAACTGGCTACGTAGCTAACTTTAAAGGCCGTTACAAAGCCTTATGACGCCAGATAAAGGGCAAATGTACCAACCACTATTGCAAACAGGAGGAAGCGCTGTTAAACTCGAAGTCTACCCGAGCGTTCTATAATTTTGTTAATGCAAAATTTAAAGAGTCGAAAACGATCCCACCCTTAAGGGAAGACTGTAACAATGATACTGTTAAGGCCAAATTTTCAATATGTTCTTCAGTTCAGTCTTCGTTGACCGCAATGGCCACTGTCCCTCACTTCCTAGTTGCACCAGGGTTGGGTTTCACTTACCTTTGCTACCAGTTCACTTGCACGCGCCCTGTCTACACATGAGCAGAAGCTTCTGCGCAGGCGCAGATCGTATTTGACGACATCCAGGCAAAGCTTTCTGCCACTGCTGCTACTGGTTTGCCCGACAATGCTGTCATACTGCAAAGCGATCTGGACTATGTGTCTGAATGGTCGCATAATTGGCAACTCCAAATCTCGATTAATAAATGTTCTGTCCTACGCATTGGCAAAAATATTCAGAACACCAAATACAGGTTAGGCGGTACTGATCTCGCAGACGACCCTCACGTTGCCAAGGACCTAGGACTACTCATCTCTAATGATCTCAGACCCAGAGCTCACTGTAACAGCATTGCCAAAAAAACATTAAGAGTTGTTAACTTAATTTTGCGAAGCTTCTCTTCTGGTAACATTGTATTGTTAACTAGAGCGTATAAAACCTTTGCCAGACCAATTATTGAATACTATTCACCTGCTTGGAATCCCTATTGTATATTGGACATTAACACGATCGAGTGGGTCCAGAAGTATTTCACGAGAAGAGTACTGTGCTTGTTTGCTCACGATAAAATCCCCTACGCCACCAGACTAGAAATCCTGGACCCGGACAATCTGGAACTGCGACAACTGTGGTCTGATCTATGCATTGTACGTAAAATTGTCTGCTACAATGTCTTACCTGTCAACAACTACTTCAGCTTCAATCACAATAATACACAGTCAAATAATTGTTACAAACTCAAGGTAAACCGCTTCCAACTTGACTGCAGAAAATATGATTCCAGCAACAGAGTGGTCAATGTCTGGAATGCTCTACCTGACTCTGTTGTTACAGCCTCCAACCCTCACAGCTTCAGCCACAAACTGTCTACTGTGGACCTCACCCCATTCCTAAGAGGTCCGTAAAAGGAGTGTGCATAAGTACACCTGCGTGCCTACCATCCCTGTCTTGCTGTTTCCATTATACCTGTATTTGCTTCCATTGTTCATGTTCATGTTTATACTTGTACTTGCTTCCTTGTTCATATTTTACAAACAGATTGAATAAATAAACAAACATAAATAAATACAAGGTGAAGTCAAAAGAATGTGGAGATGTTTTATTGAAAAGTCACACCTAATTTTGACATCAGAGACTTCACACCAGAGACAGACACTATGAATGCCCAGAATGTGAAAAATTTGTGGAGTCTGCTGACTTGAGACACCAGAAGGGGCACATAGGAAAGAGGCCATATAAATGTGGGGAGTGTGGGAAAAGTTTTACCCGAAAACAAAACCCTAGAAACCATCAGAAGGTCCATACAGGAATGAAGCCATAGAGATGCATAGAGTGCAATCAAGTTTTGCTCAAAAGTGAGACATCAGAAAAATCACATGGGAAAACAATCACTATGCCCTCATGGTGGAACAGTTTTCCATAGTGGATCAACCCCTGATAATCATATAAAAGTTTGTAAGCTTTGTTAAATTTTAGAAAAACAAAGTACAAGAAAACAAAGGAGAAAGAACTAAAAAAATCAAGGGGCAGGGAGGGAAAAGCAAAATTGGGGAGTGGATACAAAAAGGGGAAGTGACTTTTTTTCTGTAAGTATTCCAACTTTCTGCACTCCAGGTAAAATCCTAAGTATCAATAAATCTTTGAACTAGAATAAACCATAACAAACAGTATGTTTTTCATTATAAATGGGTTGTTGTTGTTAGTTGAGAAGTCATGTCTGACCCATTGCGACCCCATGGGCAACGTTCCTCCAGGCTTTCCTGTCTTCTACCATCCTCTGGAGTCCATTAGGCTCTTCTCCAGTCATTCCTTCTCATTAGGTGGCCAAAGTATTTAATTAATTTAATTTAATTAATCATATTTCTATGCCGCCCAACTCCCAAAGGACTCTGGGCGGCTTACAACACAAATAATACAAACAGTGAACATAATTTTTTTAAAAAACAACAACATAAAAGCATTTTAAAAACATTAAAAACACATGCACACCATCCATGGCAGGATCTCGCAAGACTGAACAGCGAAATCAATGGCCCCAGGCCTGGCAGAAAAGTCAGGTCTTCACCGCTTTCCGGAAGGCCAATAGGGTGGGGGTGGTCCGGACCTCAGGAGGTAACTGGTTCCAGAGAGCTGGGGCAGCCACAGAGAAGGCCCTTGCCAGCCGGCATTGTTTAGCTGACGGGACCCGGAGGAGACCAACTCTGTGGGATCTTACCAGTCGCTGGGAGCTATGCAGTAGAAGGCGGTCTTGCAGATAGCCTGGCCCTGAGCCATGTAGGGTTTTAAAGGTAATAACCAACACCTTGAATTGTGCCCGGAGACCAATAGGGAACCAGTGCAGCTCGTGGAGAATTGGTGTAATATGGGTGTATCTAGGTGCACCCACGATAGCTTGCGCTGCATTCTGGACCAATTTGAGTTTCATCTTCAGGACCTGACCTTCTAAAGAGCAGTCACGGTTTATCTTCTCTAGGACTGACCGGTTTGATCGCCTTGCAGTCTAAGGGACTTGCAGGAGTCTTCTCCAGGACCATGCCGGACTCCTTTCCCAATTTTGAATCAATCATTGGTTCCGTGTCCAGTTCTCACTGTTGCTTCTTGACCCACATATGGGTTTCTCAAGAGACAAATAAGATGGTCTGGTACACCCATCTCTTTAAGAACTTGCCACAATTTGTTGTGATCCACACAATCAAAGGCTTTAGCATAGTCAATGAAGCAGATGTTTTTCTGGAACTCCCGAGCTTTCACCATGATCCAGCGTATGTTGGCAATTTGATCTCTAGTTCCTCTGCCTCTTCGAAATCCTGCCTGTACTTCTGGTAGTTCTCAATCCACATACTGCTGAAGCCTAGCTTATAGGATTTTAAGCATAACCTTACTAGCATGTGAAATGAGTGTAATGGTGTGATATTTTGAACATTCTTTGGCATTGCCTTTCTTTGGAATTGGAATGTAAACTGACCTTTTCCAATCGTGTGGCCACTGTTGAGTTGACCGAATTTGCTGGCAAATTGAGTGTAGCACTTTTACTGCATCGTCTTTTAAGATTTTGTATACCTCAGCTGGAATATTGTCACCTCCACTAACGTTGTTGTTGCTCAGATTTCCTAAGGCCCATTTGACTTCACATTTCAGGATATCTGGCTTGAGGTCAGTGACCACCCCCTCGTGATTATCAGGGATGTTAAGCTTTTCTTGTATAGTTCTTCTGTGTAATTTTGCCACCACTTCTTAATCTCTTCTGCCTCTGTTAGGTTCCTGCCATTTTGATACTTTATCATGCCCATCTTTGCATGAAACGTTCCCTTCATATCTCCAATTTTCTTGGAAGAGATCTCTGGTCCTCCCTATTCTATTATTTTCTTCTATTTCTTTGCACTGTTCATTTAAGAACACATTCTTATCTCTTCTAACTATTCTCTGGAATTCTGCATTCAATTGGGCGTATCTTTCTCTTTCTCCCTTGCCTTTCATTGCCCTTGTTTCCTCAGCTATTTCAAAGCTTCCTCAGACAGCCATTTTGCTTTCTTGCCTTGCTTTTTCTTTGGGATGATTTTAGTTGCTACCTGTTGTACAATGTTGCGAACCTCCGTCCATAGTTCTTCAGGCACTCTGTCTATCAGATCTAATTCCTTAAATCTATTTGTCACCTCTACTGTATATTCATCAGGGATATGATTTAGTTCGTACCTGTGGGGCCTAGTGCTTTTCCCTACTTTCTTCAATTTAAATCTAAATTTTGCAACAAGAAGCTCATGATCTGAGCCACAGTCAGCTCCTGTTCTTGTTTTTACTGACTGTATAGAGCTTCCCCATCTTTGGCTGCAGAGCACATAGTCAATCTGATGTCTGTGTTGACCGTCTGGTGATGTCCACGTGTAGAGTCATCTCTTGGGTTGTTGGAAAAAGAGTGTTTGCTATGACCATCGTATTCCCTTGTCGAAATTGTATCAGCCTGTGCCCTGCTTCATTTTGTACTCCAAGGCCAAACTTGCCTGTTATTCCGGTTATCTTTTGGCTTCCTACTGTAGCATTCCAATCCCCCATGATGATAAGGACATCATTTTTTTGGTGTTAATTCTATAAGATGCTGTAGGCCTTCATGGAACCAGTCAATTTCATCCTCTTCAGCACCAGTGGTTGGGGCATAGACTTGGACTACTGATATTGAATGGTTTGCCTTGGATACAAACTGAGATCTTTCTGTCATTTTGGGGATTGTATCCCAGTATTGCTTTTCCTACTCTTTTATTGCCTGTGAAGGCTACTCCATTTCTTCTGAGGGATTCTTGCCCGCAGTAGTATACCTGATGGTCATCTGAATTAAATTCACCCATTCCTGTTCGCTGATTCCTAAGATGTCGATGTTCAGTCTTGTCATCTCTTGTTTGATGACATCTAGCTTGCCTTGATTCATAGATCTTACATTCCAGGTCCCTATGGAGAATAGATCTTTTACAGCATCGGACTTTCCTTTCATCACCAGATGCATCCACAGCTGAGCATCCTTTCGGCTTCGGCCCAGTCGCTTCACTCTTTCTGGCACTACCAGTACTAGGCAGTGGTGAAATGTAAAATTTGTTACTACTGGTTCTATGGGTGTGGCTTGGTGGGGGGGGGGTGTAAGGTGACTGGGTGGACGTGGCCAACTTTTTTTTTTTACTTTTAAAAGCATTTTTTCACAACCTCTTCAGCCGAAGAGGTTGCAGAGAAAAAAAATGCTTTTAAAAGCCTCTGACGATCAGGGAACTCAGCTGGGATCGTCAGAGGCTTTTAAAAGCATTTTTTTCTACAACCTCTTTGGCTGAAGAAATTGCAGAGAAAAAAATGCTTTTAAAAGCCTCTGACAATCCCAGCTGAGCTGCACAATCATCAGAGGCTTTTTTTTTTTTTTTTTTACTTTTAAAAGCATTTTTTCGGCCAAACAGTTTGTATTTTTTAAAAGCATTTAAAAAATGCTTTTAAAAGTAAAAAAAAAAAAAAGCCCTGATAATCGCGCGGCTCAGCTGGGCATGGGGTGGTGGTGCAGGGATTTTTGCTATTGGTTCTCCGAACAACCCGTCGCCATCACTACCGGATCAGGCGATCCGGTCCGAACCAGGAGCATTTCACCCCTGGTGAAAGGGCGGCAGAGGTGGCGGTGGTGTTCCGTGGTGTTCTGTGAGGGCAGGTGCCAGGCAGATGTCCCAGGGCTGCCGCTGTCAGCCTTTCCAACGCGCTGGGTCCGTTGGGATGGTGGGTAAGCTGACACCAGTGGGGGAGGGAGGAGGGAGACGTACTGTGCTCAGCCTCTGGGGGACATGGCGAGGCTCTCTCGCCTTTTGGGCTTGGCGTGCTCGGCTTTCACGCTTGGCTTCCCTGGGGCCTTTGGCCAACTGCTGCCCGCTTGCCTTCCCCCCCATATCTAGCCCAATATGGGGGACGCACAGGGGTGAAATGCTCCCGGTTCGGACCGGCTCAGGCGAGTAGGTAGCGGAGATTGAGGCTAGCTCGCCGAACCGGTAGCAATGGCTGGCTGGCCACGCCCCCGAACCGATCCACGGCCCACAGTCCTGCCATGCTTGCCTGCCTTCCATGCTGCCTTCCTGGTGTCCCGGTGGCCAGCTTACAAAGGCAGGCAAGCAGAAGTCCACATGGAAGGCAGGCAAACATGGCAGGGCTGCGGGGAAGGAGCTAGCAGTTTACTGTCCCCCCCCCCATTCAAGCAGTGGCTTCCCTGCTCAGCCCCAACAAGCTATGTATCCATAGCAATGGGGTTGTTTTTGTTCGCCGCGGTGGTGCTTCGGGAGGCAGGTGGACACATTCATTATAGTTGTCAGCTGCAGACGTCCGCCTGCCCTCCCGAAGCACCACCGCGGCGAACAAAACAACCCCATTGCGCTGCGCCTCCTTCTATAGCCGAACGCGCCTAGCTGTCCGTGCCCTTTCCTCAAATGGGCTGTACATGGGGCGCTTGGAGAGCGAGCGAGCAAGAGAGCTCTCCAACCTCTGTTTTGTGTGTGTGTGTGTGTATGTGGAAGGGAGGGAGGGAGGGAGGGAGCGATCTGAAGCCGGGGCACCCAAACTTCTGGCAGCGGCGGAGCAGCTTCTGAGCAGCCAGCTCCACCTGAGCTACTCCGAGTCTCGCGTTCTCCTGGCCCCCCCCTCCACCCCACTCAAGCAGCAGCAGGCTCTGCGGAACAACAGTACTTCTCATTTTTCCCACAGCACGGCGTACGCTTGCTACCTCTGCTTGTCTGCTTGCACGTGATGATCTTCTCTGCTTCTCTCGGGATGCTGGTGCGGGCACCATGGATGCATAGCTTGTTGGGGCTGAGCAGGGAAGCTGCTGCTTGAGCTGGTGGGGGGCAGGATAATGGCGAGACTCAGGGAGTAGGTCAGGTGGAGCTGGCTGCTCAGAAGCTGCTCCGCCGCTGCCAGAAGTTTGGGTGCCTCGGCTTCAGATCGCTCCCTCCCTCCCTCCCTTCCTCACACACACACACAGACACACACAGAGGTTGGAAAGCTGTCTTGCTCGCACTCTCTCCAAGCGCCCCATGCACAGCAGAGTGACGTGAATGACATCAAACTGGCCACGCCCAACCAGTCACATGACCACCAAACCACGCCACACCAAGCCACGCCCACAGAACCAGTAGCAAAAAAAAATTAGATTTCATCCCTGGGGACGCCCTGCTTCTGGACAGGGCCACCCGCCCTCAGGTCCCTGAAGGGCAGGGTGTGCTCTGCCACCGGGGGTGGGCATGGCCATGATGCACATGACACGCAACTCATGTCGGGAAGACACCCCTTGTGGCCAAGCGCTAAGGCAGGTAACTTCCCTGAGACTCTCCCTCACTCTCATTATAACTAACCTTCCTTCCTTCCTTCCCCTCTTCATTCTAATTTCTTCTTCCTTCCCCGCTTTCCTTATTTTTCCTTTCTTGCAATCTTCTCATCTTCCCTTCTTTTTCTTCGTCTTTCCCTTACTCCTTTCTTGCCCCTTCTTGCATGCTCAAATGCAAAAAGGGAAACGTTTCTCCTTTTGTTTTGTTTTTAGTTTTAACAGCCCTCTACCAGCAAAAATGGGGGGCTGAAGGGGTGGCCCCCTGCGTTCTATTGTTGCTGGCAGAGGCACTGCAAACCGGCCCTTTGTGATTTCCAGGCCGAGGTGGGGACTCAGGGTTACCTTCCTCCTGGAGGGGAGAAGCCCTCCTGGCGCCCCCAGGAAGAGCAGGAGCCCCACCTGCCCCTACGCCCAGAATATGCCCAGCCACCCAAAATGCTGCAACTGGGAAAACAGCATCAAAATTCCCGCCAATTTAGCTCCCAGACACATGGGGGGGGGGACAACGAGAAAAGCTTCCTAGAGAGGTCCTTGGAGCAGGGGTCTCCGACCTTGGCCACTTTAAGACTTGTGGACTTCAACTCCCAGAGTTCCTCAGCCAGCTTTGCTCTGGGAGTTGAAGTCCACAAGTCTTAAAAGTGGCCAAGGTTGGAGACCCCTTGCCTTGGAGGCTTAGCCCCGCCCCTTCCAGCTCCGATTTCCTCCCTTGCAGAGTGTGGAAAGACCCTCTGCTCCCTCCTTCCTCTCCTACCACCTGACAAGGAGTGGTTGCAGCAGGGCCGGATTTAGATGAAAAGAGGCCCTAGGCTATTCCACTTATGAGGCCCTTTCACCTATAGTGAAAGTGTAATTTTAATTTTGCTAACAATCTGAATGTAGGCCCCTCTTGATCTTGAGGCCCTAGGCTGAAGCCTAGTTAGCCTATAGGAAAATCCGGCCCTGGGTTGCAGTTTCTTCCCCCTCGGAGGTCGCTGGGCGAGCCGCTTCTTTCCCAGCCGGGCGGAATCCAGAGAAGCCGGGAGCCTCTCCCTCCCTCTTTTCCCTCCCAGAACTGGGAAAAGGCGAGACAAGACGTTTAAGCTTTTTCCACCCGTTCATTCATGAACTCATTTACCAATTCCAGATTGGGCTGAAGTTCATCTTTGGGGTTTTGTACATTTTGTATCATGGTATAAAAATGATGTTGAGCCTAGTAAGGGTGCAGGGAAGAACAGGAAAGGTAAGTAGGGGAGTGGATAAGAGGAATAAGTGAATAAGAGGAAAGGTTGCAGGAACTGATTATGTCTCGTGGAACGAAGAGAAGGACTGGAAGTGACAGGATGGCAGCCCTCCAATATTGGAGAAGCTGTCAGAAAGAAGAGGGGGACAACCTATGCTCCAAAGCACCCGAAGGCAGAACAAGAAGCAATGGCTGGAAAATAAACTAGGGGATTATCCAGCCCAGAACTAAGGAGAATTTCCTGAGAGAACCATTAACCAGTGCAACGGCTTCCCTCCAAAAGTTGTGGGTGCTCCATCAGTGGAGGGTTTTCAGAAGAAGTCCCTTGTCTGGGATGGGGTAGTAAGATCACTTGCTAAGGCAGGGGGTTGGGCTAGATGACCTCAGAGCTCCCTCCCAACTCTTCTTCTGAAGGTTTGCTCATTCGGGGCTTGAAAGTTATACAAACCGACCAGTTACCCACAGTCAGCAAACCACCATGAAAGCAAAGCTTATGGGACGGTGTTTCCTGACGCCCCGAAGGGCACAAAAGGGGGAAATTGTAGCCTCCCCCGCGTCCAAGTCCTCCCCCCTCCCCAAACAATCCGGGAAGAAGCCTCTCTGGACTCCGGCCGGCTGGGAAAGAAGCGGCTCCTCCTGCTCCCTCCGAGGGGGAAGCGGCGCTTGCCAGACCCCAAAACTGTAGCAGCTCCTGGGAGAAGAAAGACTGGCTAGAGCGTCTCACGCCTCCCAGGGAGAAAACGGGGACCGGAAAAGGCGGGGAGAAGCCTCCGTGGGGCCTCTCTAGGAACGTCCTGTTGTTCTTCCTCCCCTCTCTGTGGTTTCCCCACTTGCGGCTGGGCGAATTCTTGGCTGTCCGGCAAGGCTGCTCCTCGGCCCCGCTCCGGGCAGGTGGGGCTCCCGCTCTCCCTGGGGCTGCCCGGAGGAAGGTCGCCCCGCTGAGTGCCCGCTGAGCCAGGGGTGCCAGGAGGGTCCCGGGTGGAGGCGGGGCTGGACGGGGAGCCTCTGGGCAAAGGGGGGGGGAGAGAGGAAGCCCCGCCCCACGGAGGGCAAAGGGCGGGGCTTCTCTTTCCAGGGTCTCAGGGGGGATTATGGGGTCCATGCAGGAAACAGCCGCCGCCTCCCTTCAATCGGGGGTGGAGGGTTTTCTTTATTGCTTGAATTGAGCTCATTTCCTCCCAAGGGAGAAAAGATCCACTTTCTTTCCCTGTCACCTAAATGGAGAAGAATTGATGTTCTTTGCTTTTATCTTAGTATTTCAATTGTTTACTTTTGTTTCTACAAAGCTGGGAAGAAGCTGAAAAAAAACCTCATCATTTTCCCAGTTTTGCTCTGAAGGAGGCTGTGAAGTGTCAGCCCCTGGTTGGTGGGTTTTGTCCATCAGAATAGTGCGGGAAGGGACCTTGGAGGTCTTCTAGTCCAGCCCCCTGCTCAAGCAGGAGACCCTATACCAGGGGTCTGCAACCTTAAACACTCAAAGAGCCATTTGCACCCATTTCCCACAGAAAGGAAAACACCGAAAGCCACAAAATCTGGGTGGGCATGGCCAACTTGAGGGCACTCACTCCCACCCAGCTGTCACATGACCCCCTTTTTGCCCCCCAGTTTGGGTCTGAGCCTGGTGCAGAGGCCAATGAAGACGCCAGACATGAGGTGCGGGTTTTGATTGCTTTTTATTGACCTACTCCAAGGAAAGGGGCTCCTAGCCAAAATGCCAAGAGCCAAGAACAAAGGATTAAGAAAGCTTTCTACATTTTCACTAAAGGAGAAGACGGAATAATAAGAAACATCATCTAATAATAGACATTTTAGTGATAATTCCACAATTTGTTCAATTGGTCTCCAGTTATCCCTATTCCTAAGCCTTGGCTAATGGAAGCCTCGGGAGTTATCTAAGGCACATTTTTATTGGCTGCAGGCCATCTCTACTCCTGTCTTTGAGCTGAGGTCTGCAAGTTGCCTAACTCCTTGTTACTTTTCTCAGCCTTCTAACCACCCAGAATTGTTACAAGCTTTACAACTGCATATTGCCAGACAAACTGCCCAATTACTGGCTTCCTGGTTTACTTTCAAGTGTGCGCATGACCTTGCTTTATTGTAGAAAACAGCCCATCACCCCAGCCATGCAGAGAACATGACAGCAATGTTTGCTCTCGGATGTTGTTTTCTTCTAAAAGTGACAGGCTTCCATCCCTCTTCCTCTTTAGGTTCATTGTGTTCAAACTGCATTACTGGCCCCGAGCAATGTACTTGCATCCTCTCTAAACTATAAAGGAACCATAGGAGACCATTCCAGGAGGAAGACGTATTCAATCTGTGCTAGCCTAAAAAATAAGTGTCCATGAATACCTACATAGGTTGTACTCTGTACAGAATTAGATCTACCTGGCACATACAAATCCTATGGAGGGTCCTTGCAGTTTGTCTCACATCATGTAGCATCAACGCACCCCCCCACTCCCAAGGAAAAGGCAGGGATCACCCCCAATTTAGGTAAGCAAATGGGGAGCAACAGGGACTCAGCCATCCCTCTCGTCATGCTAAGAAAAGGGAATGGGAGGCCAGCTCTGCAGGGAGGATCCGAGCATTGCTTTGATTCTGTGGGGAGGGAATAAAGGCATTGGGGGCCGTTCCTGGGTACATATAGGGCCGTGATGGCAAACTTTTTAGAGACCGAGTGCACAAACTGCAACCTAAAACCCACTTATTTATCGCAAAGTGCCAACACGGCAATTTAACCTGAGTACTGAGGTTTTACTACTTAAAATAAATGATAAACAAGGCATAGTTCAGTTTAGAACTATGTGATAAATGCACTTTCATCGCCCTTCATTTTTTTTCTATTTTTGAAAGATTACATTTAGCAACAATAAAAAAGAAAACCTTTTGTAATATCATTTCTCCTTCCCTCCCTCTCTCTCTCTCTCTGTGTTTACCTCCCTCTCTTTTTCTCTCTTTCCGTCCCTTTCTTTCCCTCTCTCGGTCTGTTTTTCTCTCTTTCTCTCCCTCCTTTCTCTCCCTCTCTCTCTTTCTCTCTGCCTCCATCTGTTTCTATCCCCCCCCCCCAGGCAGGGGGAAGGAACTCCTGACTTGGTGCTGGGTGATGGGAATCTGGCATCTGGAGACCGACGAGCCCAAGAGCAGCGTTCCGAAGTTCAGCTGGCTGGCGGGGAGGCGGGGCATCCCAACACAGGCAGCTCTGCAGGAAAAGCAACTGACATCCGGGAGGACAGAACAAGCTGAGATGACCCAGGATTGCATTGTGGCTCCACGTCGTAATGGACTTCAGGAGGAGGGAACCCCGTCTCCCCCATTGTGCAGCATGTGAGTGAAAAAAAAATTTACTCAATCAATTCCAACTTTGTGAGATCTTTTTCTTTCGCGAGAAGTTGGAATTGATAAGAGTGAATTTTTTATAGTCCCACAAATTTTTGTTTCCCTGCAAATAACGGTGGGAAACGCGACGGAGAAACAGGATGGAGCTCGGCTGGGGCGACGGCGCATATGCCCACAGAGAGGGCTCTGTGCGTCCCCTCTGACAAGCGTGCCATAGATTCACGACCACAAATATAGGGGGTCTTCCAGCTACTGTTTGGGCTATTTGGAGAGGTGAAGAAAATAAATCTTTCTCTCTCCTTCACTTCTTTTATCTTCATCCTGCAGGAAAACCTTTGGAGGAAGTTCTGCTTGCAGGATCCAATCTGGGTCAGTCACCGGGACCAGAAGTTTCGTCTTCTGAGCTTTTGGACTCGTGCTGGAGCCCATCCTCCTGCCCATCTTCCAACTTTTTGGCCAAAGTTCTTGTTAGAGTTTCCTTTGATGGAAAGCCCTGGAAACGAGCAGCCCCTGGAAAATATGCAGAGGGGAGAACAATGTGGGCAAATGTCCCCTCAGATAAATCAGCGGAGACATTCAAAATGCTCCGAGTGTGGAAAATCCTTTGCTCACCGGTCCCTCCTTTTGATCCACCAGAAACTGCACACGGGGACTGGATCCCACCTGTGTTTTCTATGTGGGAACTCCTTTCCTGGACTCTGGAGCTTTGCCAAACATCTCCGGAGCCACCCTGGACTGAAGCCTTACAAATGCGGAGAGTGTGGGGAACGTTTTGCTAAAGGCTCGGACCTTGGAGCCCATCAGCGAATCCACCAGGGAAAGAGATCTCAGGAATCCTGGAAGTGCTGGGGAAGATTTCCTGACAGACGGCGTCTTTCTTGGCCTCAGAATAGCCCGACTGAAGAGAAGCCCTGCAAGTGTGTGCAATGTGGGCTGTGCTTTTCTCAAACCTCACAGCTGCTTAAACATCAGCAAATCCACACCAGAGGGAAACCTTATCAATGTCTGGAGTGTGGGAAATCTTTCCATTATAAACAATTGTTTAGAAAACATGAGAAAATTCACAAACAGCAGATTCCTTATAAATGCTTAGAGTGTGGAAAATGTTTCACTCGGAGCACATCTCTTTGCAAACATAATAAAACACACACAAAGGAGGAGAGCAAAACATGCATAGAATATGGGAAGTGTTTTTCCAGCAAATCAAACCTGCTGAAACATCAGAGAATTCACACTGGGAAAGGATCCTATCAGTGCCCAGAATGTGGGAGATGTTTTGACTACAACTCATGTCTAATTCGACATGAGAGAGTTCACACCGGAGAAAGACCCTATCAATGCCCAGAATGTGGGAGAGGTTTTGGCAGAAAGTCAACCCTAATTCAACATCAGAGACTTCACACCGGAGAAAGACCCTATCAGTGCCCAGAATGTGGAAAAAGTTTTTCCCGAAGGACACAACAAATTCGACATATGAAACTTCACACCCGAGGAAGCCCCTATGAGTGCCCAAAATGTGAGAAAAGATTTGTGGACTCTGCTAAACTTCGGAGACACCAAAGGCTGCACATAGGAGAAAAACTATATAAATGTAAGGATTGTGATAAATGTTTTTCTAAAAAGTCTCGTCTTTTTGAACATCAGAGTATCCATACAGGGGTGAAGCCCTATATGTGCATTGAGTGCGGAACATTTTTCCGTACAATACAAAGCCTCAGAAATCATGAGAATGTTCACAGAGGGGAAAAAAAGTTCAAATGTTTAGACTGCGGGAAAGCATTTGCTCATTCATCATCCCTTAGAAATCACTGGCAAACTCATACGGGTGAGAAACGCCATAAATGCTCAGTGTGTGAGAAATCTTTTACCCGGAAAGATACACTTGTGATTCATCAGAGAATCCACTTAGAGAAGCAATATAAATGTCTGGAGTGTGAGAAATCTTTTACCTGGAAAGATTCACTTGTGATGCATCAGGGAATCCACTTAGAGAAGAAATATAAATGTCTGGAGTGTGAGAAATCTTTTCATTGCAAATATTATCTTAGAAAACATGAGAGGATTCACAAAGGAGAGAAGCCTTTCAAGTGTGTGCAGAAAAATGAAAAGTGCCCAGAATGTGGGAGATGTTTTGCCAGAAAATCATACCTAATTCAACATCAGAGACTACACACTGGAGAAAGACCCCATCAATGCCCAGAATGTGGGAGATGTTTTGGCTACAAGTCACACCTGATTCGACATCAGAAACTTCACAGTGGAGACAGACCTTATCAATGCCCAGAATGTGAGAAACGATTTGTGGATTCTTATAGACTTCGGAGACATCAGAAGGGGCACACAGAGAGGCCCTATAGATGTGAGGAATGTGGAAAAAGTTTTCTCTCAGCAACACTGCTTCAGGTTCATTGGAGAAGCCATACAAGGGAGAAGCCATACCTGTGTGTGGAGTGTGGGAAAGGTTTTTCCCGAAAACAACACCTTGGAAAGCATGAAAAGGTCCATATGCGAGTGAAGCCATAGAGATACATAGAGCAGTGGTTCTCAACCTTCCTAATGCCACAACCCTTTAATACAGTTCCTCATGTTGTGGTGACCCCCAACCAGGGGTGGGTTCTAAATTTTTTTACTACCGGTTCTGTGGGCGTGGCTTGTTTTGTGGATGTGGCTTGGAAGTCATGTGACTGGGTGGGCGTGGCTAGCTGGTCATGTGACCGGGTGGCCATGGCTATGTGTATAGGGACTACTCAGAGGGCTGAAAAAAGTCATTTCTGACAGGTCCTCGGACTTTGACTGGTCCTCACACTTATGACCATCCTCACATTTATGCCCGTGCAGCATTCTTAACAACCATGTCACTCATTTCACAACTGCTTCTCTTCAACATGGTGATAAGATAGGGCAAATTACGTAAAATGTGAGGACAGTCGTAAATTCGAGGACTGGTCAAAAGTGCGAGGACCAGTCAAAAATAACTTTTTCAGCCCTCTGAGTAGTCCATATGCATAAAAGGATACAGCAATAGAGAGGGATGAAGGAAGGGAAGGGAAATTAGAGTAGGAATGAGGGTAAGAGAGGGAGGAAGAGAGGAGGAGAAGGAGAAAGGAAGAAGTAGGGAGGAGAAGAGGAGGGGGAGAAAGAGAAAGTAAGAAGGAAAGAAAAGACAGATGGTAGGTTTGAGGAGAAAGATTGCTGTACAATAAAAAAGATGAAAGGGAAGAAAGACAACCCCAAACAAATATAAAGATATTAAGATAAAGAATGAATTGTTAAACTTTAAAGAATAAAAGAGAACAAATATGAATAAATAGCAATAATTAGAAACACACATACAAACATACAACGTATTTTCTTTGAACAGAGTATTTGGCCGGTTCACAAATTTAAACAGTTGTAGGAGGTTAGCACCCACCCCTTTCCTAGAAGAATGAAATATTTTGGGAAAGATTAAAAAGGCAGAATATATTTTGGGAAATATTAAAAAGGCAGAATATTATATTTCCCTGGATGAGAAATGGAGAAGCAAATTTTACAGACAAAGCAGCTCCCACCTTCCTGCCCCCCACCCTTTGTTAATGGGCCAGAGGCAGAAAGTCAATCCTTTGTCAAAGGACATTTGCAACACAATAGCAACCGAAACTAACACAATGGGCCCCATCAAGCCACGTGATCCTGTCCACCATTAAACCATCTTTCCAAGCAGTCTCCATGTTTCCAGTGTCTTTTTCCCCACTTGGAGCAGAACCCAGAAGGTTCTTCCAACACAGTGTTTAGTCATTTCAATTAAGTTTACAATTTATATATTTCCTTTTTACCATATTTATTCCTCATCTATTTTTAAAAAAACCCAATATTATCCTTCATCCTCATGTCTAATCTTAATCAAATTCAATTTTTCCCTTCTATTCTATATTATACCCCTTTGCATTGTCAACTATTTTTATATCCATCCTCACATTGGTTAATTATGTAATACAGTTGTTTAATACATATTCAACATTTTAATATAAATCAATTAGTTATATAACTATTTTGTATATTAATCAATATGAACATGAATATTCCAATTATTTCCATGCAATCCAATTTCTTACAAATCAATTAATTATATTTACCAATAATAATAAACCAAATAATTTCCCCCATATATTCCTCCAAACCACAACTTAACCATTTCTGCTTTCAACACAATATACAATTAATAGTATCTCAATTATTACAATTCCCTAGTTAAATAGAGCTTTTTTTCCTTTTGTGTTTTAAAATCTTGAACCTCCTCTTTTGCCCTAAATTTCCCATTGTTTGCAGTTTTGCACCTACCTTTTTTGGTGTGAAAAAAGAAAAAGAAATCTCTCTCTGCCTCATTTTGTCATGTTGCAGCAAACACCCTGCTTTACTTTCAATTTCGCTTTTTCAGCATAGCTAGGGGAAAAAAAATCTGCTCCAGGAATTTACCTCTTTGCAGCTAGCTAGCAACAGAGCCCTCCCCAAAACAGCTGAGAGCAAATCAGCTGAGAGTCCGGAGGCTGATCAAATCAACTTATGGTAATTGACCTATGCTAAAGCTGAAAGGGGCTGTTTTTTCTATTTTTGCAGGCATCAATCTATTCATTTGTTTTCTTTTAACACTGATCAGCTGTAGGGTGGCCCTTTGAAGCCCCACTGAAAGAATTTAAAGTTTTTTTCCCTCTAGCCATCAGCTGGGACTCCGGAGGCAGCAATAGATTGGGAGTGGGCGGGGTAAGCGAACAGCGATCCAACAGAGGCAGAGGGTGAGGGTGAGTGAAGGCATGGGGGGGGCGAGAGAGGGCTTTGGCGACCCCTGTGAAATGGCCGTTCGACCCCCAAAGGGGTCGCGACCCCCAGGTTGAGAACCGCTGACATAGAGTGTGGTAATGTTTTGCTCAAAAGCGAGACATCAGAAAAATCACATTCAGTTTCCAAAAAAGGAAAATGGAAGACAAAATAGAATTGATGAGGAAAAGTGATTTAGGAGAAATGATACAAAAGTAAGACATTTGGATATAGTTACAAAAAATACAAATTCAATGTCAAAATAATTCTGATAAGGGATGGAATCAAATTGAAAAGGATCTAGTAAGATGGAAAAACATACAATTGTCATTGATTATAGAAGTTATATAAATAAAAATGACTGTATTACAGGACTGTGTAAACAATACCTATCCGGACAATGGGTGCACCACATAATCAATGACAGGAAGATACATCTAAGTGTATATGACAGGAGAAAAACCAAGAGTTTAATTCAATTTAAGAATTTAATTTTTATAATGATTTTTTAAATGTATTGTGAGCCGCCCTGAGTCTTTGGAGAGGGGCGGCATATAAATTTAATTAATTAAATTAAATTAAATTAAATTAAAACTGTTCAAGACCAAAGAGAAAGAGGATGATTAGGATCGCTTTGGATGAAAGAGTGGGTGTTGCTGAGAAATAAGAGGATTTTAACACAGGAAGGGTATGGCTTTTTTTAATGGTTCAGCTTCGACAATAGAAACATAGGCAGTGCCCAAAAACGACTTTGTGGGTCTTGGCACAAGAAACATTGATGGAAAAGAAAGAGTTGACCACAATAAATGGATAAAATGTAATATCCTGATGTCTTACACTTTTTGTCTCATTTCTTTGAATTGCTTCTCCCCATCAATTTGTCAATACAGGTAGTCAACTCAAAAAACAGTTCATTTAGTGACCTTTCGAAATTAGCTAGGTAGAGAAATACAATGGTGGTCATACCTACAAATAAGATCAAAACATATTGAGAAGAAAACGGATGAAATTAGAGTAGAACTAAGCGACCTTGATAAAATTCCGTTAAATGAACAAAAATTAATTAGTAAAATATGTAAATTTCTATTGCGGTATAAACCAGAAGAGGAAACGGTGAAAGAAACAATGATCAAATGAGCCCAAAATTTTAATTATTTGATAGAGTTGGAGAAGTGGGAGAAGATGTGGAAAACAAATATGAAATTAACAATCTCAACTGCATACAAGGAAAACCAGATGAAATTGTTGGCATCCACCACCAGTGACAATAGCGAAAATGTTTCCCAGCAATTCTGCGAAATGCTGGAAATGTAAGATTAGTTATGGAACATTTTATCACCAATGGTGGACATGCCCGGTGGCGAAATTTTTTTGGAAGAAAATTAAAAATTGGATCGAAAAAATAATCCAGAATTCAATAGAGGGAAAACCTGAACAGTTTCTATTAGGGATATCCATAGAAAATTATACTAAAGAAACACAGTTATCTCATACTACTTATATTGACAGCAGCATTTATTATATACGCGCAATACTGGAAGAAAAAAGAATTACCACCAGATAAGGATATGATTAAAAAGATTCTGGAATGCGCAAAACTGGATAAACTAACCAAAGAAATTCAGGGGAAAGAGGAAACCAAATACTATAAAGTGTGGAATAATTGGTATGAATGGCTGAAAAAGAAGGAAATAAATTAAAGGAATGAAGAAGGGAAAGAGAAAAATGAGATAGATCAATTAACATGTTAGTAGAAATGAAATATAATAGGAGAAAAAGGCTGAATAAGTTAACATTATAATAGCTGTAAATATTTATATATCGGAAGAAATGGATCACTGTTATGTACCTGAAAAAGAAATTAAGATTCTTGTATATGTTGTATGTCTATGTATGTCTTTTTAACTATGTTTAAAATAAAAAAAGTTTTTTTTAAAAAAAAAAAGAGCGGGACAACCTATGTTCCAAAGCACCTGAAGGCAGAACAAGCAGCAATGGCTGGAAAATAAACGAGGGGATTATCCAGCCCAGAACTAAGGAGAATTTCCTGAGAGAACCATTAACCAGGGCAACGGCTTCCCTCCAAAAGTTGTGGGTGCTCCATCAGTGGAGGGTTTTCAGAAGAAGTCCCTTGTCTGGGATGGGGTAGTAGGATCACTTGCTAAGGCAGGGGGTTGGGCTAGATGACCTCAGAGCTCCCTCCCAACTCTCCTTCTGAAGGTTTGCTCATTCGGGGCTTGGAAAGTTATACAAACCGACCAGTTACCCACAGTCAGCAAACCACCATGAAAGCAAAGCTTATGGGACGGTGTTTCCTGACGCCCCGAAGGGCACAAAAGGGGGAAATTGTCGCCTCCCCCGCGTCCAAGTCCCCCCCCTCCCCAAACAATCCTGGAAGAAGCCTCTCTGGACTCCGCCCGGCTGGGAAAGAAGCGGCTCCTCCTGCTCCCTCCGAGGGGGAAGCGGCGCTTGCCGGACCCCGAAACTGCAGCCGATTACGGGGGAAGAGAGGAAGGATGGGCTAGAGCGTCTTCTCACCTCCCAGAGTTGAAGAGGGGCCGGAAAAGGCGGGGAGAAGCCTCCGTGGGGCCTCTCTAGGACCCTCCTGTCATTCTTCCTCCCTCTCTGTGGTTTCCCCACTTGCGGCGTTTTGGGCGAATTCTTGGCTGTCCGGCAAGGCTGCTCCTCGGCCCCGCTCCGGGCAGGTGGGGCTCCCGCTCTCCCTGGGGCTGCCCGGAGGAAGGTCGCCCCGCTGAGTGCCCGCTGAGCCAGGGGTGCCAGGAGGGTCCCGGGTGGAGGCGGGGCTGGACGGGGAGCCTCTGGGCAAAGGGGGGGGGGGAGAGGAAGCCCCGCCCCACGGAGGGCAAAGGGCGGGGCTTCTCTTTCCAGGGTCTCAGGGGGGATTATGGGGTCAGTGCAGGAAATAGCCGCCTCCTCCCTTCAATCGGGGGTGGAGGGTTTTCTTTATTGGGGGGGGGAAGGGTTAAATGGCTTGAATTGAGCTCATTTCCTCCCAAGGGAGAAAAGATCCACTTTCTTTCCCTGTCATCTAAATGGAGAAGAATTGATGATCTTTGCTTTTATTTCAGTATTTCAATTGTTTACTTTTCTTTCTACAAAGCTGAGTAGGAAAAAAAATCCATTATTTGCCTAGTTTTGCTCTGAAGGAGGCTGTGATGTGGCAGCCCCTCGTTGGTGGGTTTTATGCATCAGAATAGGGCAGGAAGGGACCAGTTCCGAAGCCTTGGCTAATGAAAGCCTCGGGAGTTATCTAATGCACGTTTTTATTGGCTGCAGGCCATCTTGACCTTGCTTTATTTTAGAAAACAGCCCATCACCCCAGCCATGCATACCCAGCTTTTGTGGCTCTTGGTGTTTTTTGTAGAGAATGGGTATCTCTCCCTTTCCCTCTCTCACTGTCTCATCTGTCAATCCAACTACTTGGGCTGTGGCAGGTAAAGCCAAGCATTGAAGATCCATGCAAAATAAGGCAACTCTAACATGGATCCTGCTGGGGAAATAATCCCCTTTCCTTCTCTCCCCGCATGGTGGGGGCCCTGGTGGCCTGAGGGCAGCTCCCTCCTTGGAGGCGGCCAGCAAGCCAACAAACGTGGCTCTCCATCTGGAAGGCAGCAACACAGAGCCCCACCTCTAGCTGGTGAGAGCAGAGCAGGCAGCGATGGCTGGGAGGAACGCAAGAACCGAACATTTGGAGCCGCCCTCAGCGGAGTTTGCAAGCGGGCTCAGCGGGGCTCCTTAGCAAGGAGGGGTACCCTGGCCCATTTGTGCCTCTCAGCGTTCACCCTCAAAGACTCCTGTGGGGGACTGGGAGGGGAAGGTAAGGGGTGGGGCCAGCCAGTGGTGGGATCACCCAACTGGGAGCCACAGCGGAGGGACGAAAGAGCCGGAGCCAGGGGTTGTCGACAACTGTCCTATACCATTTCAGACGGGTTGCTGTCCATTCGTTTCTTTAAAGCCTCCAGTGTTGGAGCAGCCACAACTTCGGAAGGCCAGTTATTACACTGATTAATTGTCCTCATTCTTAGGAAGTTTCTCCTTAGTTCCAGGTTGCTTCTCTCCTTGATTTCTTTCCATGGATTGTTTCTTGTCAGGTGCTTTGGAGAATAGGTTGGCCTCCTCTTCTTTTTTGGCAGCCTCTCAAATACTGGAATAGCAATCATGTCACCCCCAATCCTTCTTTTCTCTACCTTAGACTAACCATTTTTGTCAAAGAACAAAATAAGATTGCTTTGGCATGATCTCTTTTTAACAAACCCATAATGGCTTTTAATTATAACTTTGTTTCTAGATGTTAGCAGATCTGTGTTTTTATTATCTTTTCCAGGATCTTTAGTAGTTTCCATGGTCTCTTTTTTTTTTTCTTCCTTTCTTGAGAATGGGAACCACATCCGCTCTTTTCAGATTCATTGTTGTGTCTTTGGTCTCCATGTGCAGGAGAAGAATTTCTGCTGCATCTTTGATTTTTGCTTCAGGGAAATAACATACCTGCCTAGATTGACTATCTGCTCTGTTTGGCCTCTTTTTTAGAAACTATTGAAGGCTGCTCTTCCATCGGTCTTCCTCTTTAGGTTCATATATAGGGTCAATTTTTTTAAATGGAACCTGTTTGTTCCCTATTGTGTTCAAACGGCATTGCTGGCCCCAATCAATGTATTTGCATCCTCCCTAAACTATAAAACAACAATAGGAAGCCAATCTTGGAGGGAGACATATTCAATCTGTGCTGGCCCAAAGAACAGTGTCCTTAAATATCTACATGAGTTGTACTCTGTACACAAGTAGATCTACCTGGCACATATAAATCCTATGGGGGCTCTTTGCAGTTTGTCTCACTTCATGTAGCATCACCGTCCCGAACACAGGGCAAAAAGGAAAAGGCAGGGATCATCCCCAGTTCAGGCAGACAAATGGGGGGCAACAGGGAGTCTGTCAGCCATCATGCTAAGAAAAGGGAATGGGAGGCCAGCTCCACAGGGGGGATCCCAGCATTGCTTTGATTCTGGGGGAGGGAATATAATCTTCCAGCTATTATTTTGGCTATTTGGAGATATATCCTTCACTTCTTTTATCTTCATCCTGCAGGTGCCACCAAGAAACCCTTTGGACAAAGTTCTGCTTGCAGGACCCAATCTGGGTCACTCACCGGGACCAGAGGTTTCATCTTCTCAGTTTTTGGATTCATGCTGGAGCCCATCCTCCTGACCATCTTCCAGCCTTTTGGCCAAAGTTCTGCTTGTTCGAGTTTCCCATGATGGAAAGCCCTGGAAGTGAGCAGCCCCTGGAAACTATGCAGAGGGGGGAACACTTTGTCCAAAGGTCCCCTCAGAGGAATCAGGAGAAACTCTCCAGATGCTCCGAGTGCATGAAATACTTTACTTACCGCTCCTCCTTTTGATCCACCGGACGCTGCATAAGGGGAATGGATCCCACCTGTGTTTCCTTTGTGGGAACTCCTTTCCTGGATTGTGGAGCTTTGGCAAACATCTCCGGAGCCATCCCGGACTGAAGCCTTACAAATGCGGAGAGTGCGGGGAACGTTTTGCTAAAGGCTCGGACCTTGGAGCCCATCAGCGAATCCACCAGGGAAAGAGATCTCAGGAATCCTGGAAGCGCTGGGGAAGATTTTCTGAGAGACGGCGTCTTTCTAGGCCTCAGAACAGCCCGACTGAAGAGAAGCCCTGCAAGTGTGTGCAATGTGGGCTCTGCTTTCCCCAAAACTCACAGCTACTTAAACATCAGCAAATACACACCAGAGGGAAACCTTATCAATGTCTGGAGTGTGGGAAATCTTTCCGTTATAAACAATTATTCAGAAAACATGAGAAAAGTCACACAAGGCAGAGTCCTTATAAATGCTTAGAGTGTGGAAAATGTTTCACTCGGAGCTCATCTCTTTGCAAACACAATAAAACACACATAAAGGAGGAAAGCAAAATGTGTCTAGAATGTGGGAAATCTTTTTCCAGCAAATCATGCCTGCTGAAACATCAGAGAATTCACACTGGGGAAAGACCCCATGAGTGTCCAGAATGTGGGAGATGTTTTGGTGAAAAGTCAACCCTAATTCGACATCAGAAACTTCACACTGGGGAGAGACCTTATCAATGCCCAGAATGTGAGAAAAGATTTGTGGATTCTTCTGAACTTCGGAGACACCAAAGGACACACAAGGGAAAAAAACGACATAAATGTAAGTCACCCCTAATTCGACATCAGGGAATTCACACTGGGGAAGGACTCTATCAGTGCCCAGAATGTGGGAGATCTTTTGGCTACAAGTCAAACCTAATTCGACATCAGAGAATTCATACTGGAGAAAGACCCTATCAATGCCCAGAATGTGGAAAATCTTTTGGTGAAAAGTCTCACCTAATTCAACATCAGAAAATTCACAGTGGGGACAGACCCTATCAATGCCCAGAATGTGGGAGACGTTTTGGTGAAAAGTCAAAGCTAATTCAACATCAGAGAATTCACACTGGGGATAGACCTCATCAATGCCCAGAATGTGAGAAAAGATTTGTCAGTTCTTCTAAACTTCGGAGCCACCAAAGGACGCACACGGGAGAAAAACTATATAAATGTAAGGATTGTGATAAATGTTTTTCTTTTAAGGAAGCTCTTTTTCGACATCAGAGTATCCATACAGGGGTGAAGCCCTATATGTGCATCGAGTGTGGAACATTTTTCCGTACAATACAAAGCCTCAGAAATCATGAGAATGTTCACAGAGGGGAAAAAAAGTTCAAATGTTTAGAATGTGGGAAAGCATTTGCTCATTCATCATCCCTTAGAATTCACTGCCAAACTCATACGGGTGAGAAATGCCATAAATGCTCAGTGTGTGAGAAATCTTTCTCCCGGAAAGATTCACTTGTGATGCATCAGAGAAGCCACTTAGAGAAACAATATAAATGTCCGGAGTGTGAGAAAACTTTCCGTTGCAAATATTATCTTAGAAAACATGAGAGGATTCACAAAGGAGAGAAGCCTTTCAAGCCTGTGCAGAAAAATGAAATGTGCCCAGAATGTGGGAGATGTTTTGCTAGAAAGGCACACCTAATTCAACATCAGAGACTTCACACTGGAGAAAGACCCTATCAATGCCCAGAATGTGGGAGATGTTTTGTCTATAAGCAACACCTAATTCGACATCAGAAACTTCACACTGGAGACAGACCCTATCAGTGCCCAGAATGTGAGAAAACATTTGTGGAGTCTGCTGAACTTCGGAGACATCAGAAGGGGCACACAGGAGAGAGGCCCTATAAATGTGGGGAATGTGGGAAAAGCTTTCTCACGGCAACATTGCTTCGAGTTCATCAGAGAATCCACACAGGGGAGAAGCCATACCTGTGTGTGGAGTGTGGGAAAGGTTTTTCCCAAAAACAACACCTTGGAAAGCATCAAAAAATCCATACTCGAGTGAAGCCATAGAGATGCATAGAGTGTGGTAATGTTTTGCTCAAAAGAAGACATCAGAAAAATAACATGGAAAATGCCCTAATAGGCCCTGATGGGAGAACAGTTTTTCATAAATGTTCAACCCTTAGAAGTCATTTAAAGAGTTCATAAAGGGGGTAGGGGAATAGAAACTCTTAGATCGTGGGAGAGCCTGTGAAATTGTCTGGAACCGTATAAGGACTCCTGCCTTGGGCAGGGAAAGTAGGACTAGAAGACTACAGCTCTGTTAATCTGTAGTAGCTCCCTTCCAGCCCTATGATTCAAAAATTTAAAAAGAAGAAGGGAAATGAATGAAAAGCAGAAGAAAGGAGTGCTGACAAAAAAGGGGGAAAGCTAAAGTTTCTGCTAAAACCTTGCAAGCCACCAAAAGTCTCTTTTTAGTTGAGAATGATTAACAAATCCAGGAAATAAATAGAATCAGAGAATATTTATCCTAGAGCACAACAGATAGAATATGTGAGGTAAGAAGAACTTTGCTGATGGTTTTCTGGTAATTTTAAAAGTCTTTTGGAAGAAATCAAAATATTAATGGAAACGTTAACAGATTTTAGTGCATTAACTGGTTTTCAATTCAATAGCTAATAGACAAAGAAGTTGACCAAAACAGGAAAATGAAAGACAAGATAGAATTGATGAGAAAAGATGGATTAGAAGAAATGATATAAATGATATAAAAGTATTTGGATATTGTTACAAAGAATACAAATTCAGTGTCAAAATAATTGTGATAAGGGATGGAATCAAATTGAAAAGGATCTGTTAAGATGGAAAAAAATACAATTGCAGTGGACTTCTATAAAGAATTATATAAAGAATAATTAAAAGTGACTATATTACTAGACTGATGTTTCTGTTTTAAACAATATCTATCCGGACAATGGGTGCATCGCATAATCAATGACAGGAAGATATATCTAAGTTTCTATGGCGGGAGAAAAACCAAGAATTTAATTTGAAACTGTTCAAGACCAAGGAGAAAGAGGATGATTAGGATAGCTTTGGATGAAAGAGTTGGTGTTGCTGAGAAATAAGAGGATTTTAACACAGGAAGGGTATGGCTTTTTTTAATGGTTCAGCTTCGACAATAGAAACATAGGCAGTGCCCAAAAACAACTTTGTGGGTCTTGGCACAAGAAACATTGATGGAAAAGAAAGAGTTGACCACAATAAATGGATAAAATGTAATATCCTGATGTCTTACACTTTTTGTCTCATTTCTTTGAATTGCTTTTCCCCATCAATTTGTCAATACAGGTAGTCGACTCAAAAAATAGTTCATTTAGTGACCTTTCGACGTTACAGTGGCACTGAAAAAAGTCACTTATGACCATTTCTCAGCATCCCCATGGTCACGTGATCAAAATTCAGTTCCTTGACCACTGATTCACATTTCTGATGGTCGCAGTGCTCCAGGGTCACCTGATCCCCTTTTACGACCTTTTTACAAGCAAAGTTAAGGGAGAAGCCAGATTCACAATTTCTTTCTGGCAACGAAATTATGGAAAACTCACTTAACAAGTATTTCACTTAACAACAGAGGTTTTGTGGTCATAAGAAGAGGCCTACCTATAGGAGACAAACTGAGAGTTGTTAGAACAGGAACATGAAGAATACGACCGACCTCTCTCTAAATACTAGAGTTTCTTTTTTGCTTTGTTATAGAGCCTCTGATTATAATCACGGTCATACAAATGTTAACTGCACTACTAATGTGGGCAGCTTCCTGCCTGCAACCCCTTGTCTTTCTTGGTGGTCTTAATTTACGTCTTATTAATCAGATCCTAAACAAATGTACAACTGAACCTGTACATGGAACCATTTACAATGCTGTTACGACTCTGGGGCTGGAGCAGTTGGTAACGGACAACCCTAGGCTCAACAATTGCTTAGATCTCATCTTCTGTAATACTTAAATTCAATGTATAGTTTATAAGTTAACCATTTTCCAACAGTGATCACAGCATGATATATTTTTGTCTCAATTTGTGTCCTTGCAAACAGGGATATAATGACAGTACTTCAAATTATAACTTTAAAAAAGCCAACTATAATCTCTTTTTTACTCTTAAATCCATAGAGTCTTTAATCTTTATGTACCAAAAATGACTTCTAAAACTAAAAAGAGCAAATTACCCATAGCAATAAGTAAGTTGAAATCCAAGAAAAAATCTCTTTGGTGAGAAGACAAAACTGGCTACGTACCTAACTTTAAAAGCCGCTACAAAGCCTTATGCCACCAGAAAAGGTCGAATGTACCAACCACTATTGCAGACAGAAGGAAGCGGTGTTAACTCGAAGTCCACCAAGCCGTCTATAATTTTGTTAATGCAAAACTTAAAGACTCGAAAACAATCCAATCCTTAAAAAGGTCTAAATGTAACAATGATGCTGTTAAGGCCAACTTTTTCAATACGTTCTTCAGTTCAGTCTTTGTTGACAGCAATGGCCGCTGTTCCTCACTTCCTAGTTTTTTATTATTTATTATTCAAACTTCTATACCGCCCTTCCCCTTTCGGACTCAGGGTGGTTATAGTTGCACCATAACAAATTGTAGTGATTTACTCTATATTGATTTTACAGTAGACCATTTTGAAACGGAACTACAAAACCTAAAGCCATCTCTATCTACTGGCCCTGATGGACTATGTGCCTACTTTTTGAAAAAGCTTGCTACCACCCTAGCTGAGCCACTATGCACAATCTATGAGGTATCTTTTCAAACCAGCTCTCTGCGCAACCTATGGTCACTAGCCACAGTTATACCAATCTTTAAAAAGGGGGACCCTAGTCTAGTCGAAAATTACAGAGCAATCTCCCTGTGTTGCCTCCCCTGTAAACTCATGGAATCAATTATAAACCAATCCATCATCTGCCACCCAGAGACAAACAACCTGCTATCTGACAAGCAGTTTGGGTTTAGAAAAAAATTGTCCTGCAATCTGCAACTCCTAAACTGTAAAAACATCTGGACCACACATATTGATCAGGGTAAAGCAGTAGATGCAATTTCATAGATTTTTGTAAAGCCTTTGATTCAGTAGTGTGTGACAAACTACTGTCAAAAGTAAGTTCTTACGGCATCTCCGGATCCCTGCACAAGTGGATAGTCGCAAGAAACAGCCAAAATAGGGAGGGCTCTATCAAATCCGGCAGCAGTTAACAGGTGTCCCCCAAGGCAGTGTCTAGGACCCACACACTTTCTGCTTTACATCAACGATCTATGCAATCAAATTAAATACAGCTGCGTCCTCTTCGCAAAAAATTATTTAATACCACTGACAATGCTGCCATACTGCAAAGCAACCTCGACTATGTCTGAATGGTCGCATAATTGGCAACTCCAAGTCTTGATTTATAAATGCTCTGTCCTACACATTGGCAAAAAAAAAATCAGAATCCGAATTACAAGTTAGGCGGTACTGATCTTGCAGACGACCCTCACTTTGTCAAGGACCTAGGAGTACTCATCCCAGACCTCGCTGTAAAAGCATCGCTAAAAAAGCATTAAGATTTGTTAACTTCTGGTAATATTGTATTAACTAGAACGTATAAAACCAACCTTTGCCAGAACCAATTCTTGAATACTGTTCACCTGCTTGGAATCCCTATTGTATATTGGACATTAACACAATTGAGCAGGGAAAAGTTTTCTCACAGAAACACAGTTACAGGTTCATCAGAGAATCCATATGGGGGAGAAGCCCTATAAATGTGGGGAGAGTGGGAAAAGTTTTACCCAAAAACAAAACCTTGGAAATCATCAGAAGGTCCATACAGGAATGAAGCCATAGAGATGCATAGAGTGCGATCACATTTTTCTCAAAAGTGAGACATCAGAAAAACCACATGGGAAAAGCTCCAGTATGCCCTGATGGTAGAACAGTTTTTCATAGTGGATTAATCCTAAGAATCATATAAAAGTTTGTAAGCTTTGTTAAATTTTAGAAAAACATGAAGTATAAGAAAACAAAGGAGAAAGAACTAAAAACTGGGCGGGGGGAAGTAAAATTGGAGAGTGGATACAAAAAGGGGAATAGAGTGGATACAAAAAGGGGAATAAGTCCCCAGTTTTGATGAAGGTGTAGTGACAGACTTGACATGTTTCGGCTCTAATGGTGCCCACTCCTGGACTCAGGACCAAACGGTCTCCAGGGTTTGGAAAGATTCTCTCTCAGCACACTGAGAAGGAGTGTATCAGGTAAGACCAACACCCCTTCTCCAGTGTGCTGATGAGAGAATCCAGGAATGGGACATACCAAAGCTGGCTTGTCCTATGGGTGGGCAGTGATCTGGTCCAGAGTCCCCGGTTCTGTGTGCACCCTCTGGAGGACTCGCCTGCCAAAGTCCGCTTCAGCCGAAGTGAAGGCGTTGAGTTGGTATTGCCTTATGAATAAGGATGGAGAGGACCATGTTGTTGCTCAACAGATTTCATCAATGGAGGTCTGTGTCACCCACACAGAGGGGGTGTACTTCCAGGTGAAGTCCAACCACAGGACCGCAGGTGGGGGCCAACCACAGGACCACCCTATTCTAGTGGAACACTGACAGGTCCTTCCTTATAGAGAGCTGCTAGTTCAGAAATCTGACCAACGTGATGGCCACGAGGAAGGCTACTTTGTAGGTAAGGTTCGCTTATTTTACTACCCAATTTCTTGTAGAATTCTCCCAAATTCCTATTTGGCGCATAGATAGCTACTACTAATATTGGGATATTTCCCCTTATAATCTCAATTGCCAATATTCTCCCTTTGACATCGGAATATTTGAGTTCAGCGGTGATCCCTTTTTTAACATATAGTGCTACTCCCCCTTTTTTTCCCCCACTAGGGAGGTGAAAGTCTTCCCAAATTTCGCAAATTCTAAGTATTTCCCCTCTTCTCTTTTTATGTGCACTTCTTGGAGGCACATTATTTCAGCATTATGTTTTATTAATTTCGAAAATATATGTTTTCTCTTCCTATCATTGTTTAAACCATTAACATTAACAGATAATAATTTCCAGCCCTCCATCTCTCTATTGGGCCTGCCTAGTTCTTGTTTACTTGTACGGCTCTTTGCGGTCTTTGTTTCTTTCCCTTGGTTTCTTTGGTTTCCTTCTCTTCTATCTCCTTTTCCTCTGATGTTCCTTCTTTAGATTTCCCTTGCTGTACACTTACTTCCTCCTGAGAGGTTGCTTCCAGTTCGTCCTTACTACTAAGGTCTTCCTCTGCACCCCTCAGCTGATCCAGAAATTCTTGTGCGGAGATAAGGCTGTCTATTTTAATTCTTTTCCCTTGCCAGGTGATCAGCATCCCCTCCGGTAAGGTCCATCTAAAGAGGATGTTCCTTGTTTAGCTGTATTGCCAGAAACCTGTAATCTCTTCTCAATTTCCGAACTCTCTTCGGGACCTGTTTTAGTATTATCACCTCTTTTCCTTTATAGGTTACAGGATCTTCTCTTACTATATTATATAGAATATCTTTCACCTTCTTCCGTGCAAATCTAACATGGACTTCTCTAGGCAGCTTATTCCTCCTAGCATAGTTAGTTTGCACCCTATAGACCTCATCCAACTCTTTTATAATATCGTCCTTGTCCTGTTGTAATATTCCAGCTATTAAATCTACTATTACTTGGCCCAGATCTTCATCTTTGTGTTCTACTACGTTTTGAAAGAGTAAATAGAAGGCTGCCCTATCCATTTCGAGCTGAATTATGGAGTCCTCTAGCTCCCTATTTTGTGCCATTAGCTTCTGATCGATAGAGTCAAGATTCCTTTCATTCTGCTCCACCCTGGTCTCAACCTTCTTTATCTTTTGTTCATTATTATATATAGACTCTTGAATCTCACTCATTTTTTGATCAATGGAATGGATATCTGTCTTCAATTCTGCATGATTGTCATCTTTTCTTGTAGTAAAAGTATGGTCTCTTGTATCATTGATAGGGTTGTTTGCATTGCTTGCATAGTTGGTAACATTGTTGATTTTTCTGTTTTTGTTAGTCCTTCAACAGATTTTTGCGGTGCTGGAGAGGTCATTGTTATTGTAGGATTGGAGGTTGTTTTCTTTCCTGCCTTAAATACAGCCGATGAGATACTTGTCATTTCTTTCAGGACTCTCTTCTGATCCCTCAAAATCACCTCAATGTTCCTTCAAATTATCATCCACTAAGGAAAGGGGGAGGGGTTTTTTCCCCCTTTCCT